GGATGGTCACAGACGGACACATGGACGGACGGAAGCAAGAACAAATGAACGTACGGTTGCTTCGCCCCACTTTCCATCAATCACCTCATAGATATGCTGTTATTTTATTTAATATCCGAACAACTAATGTACCCACTAATTATTTTAAAATATTACTTTTACAGCGTAGGTTATTTTATAGAAACATCTTGATCGATCGGCACACCTCCAGTTTTCTGTGTGCTCCACGTAACAGATGGCAGGAACCCTGCTGCCTTGCGTCACGACAGGCAGCCATTGACCACTCTTTATGTTTACTGTGTTACTCTATGGTGTGGGGGCCAAGGGACTGCTTTCAGCTCTCCCATAGTAGAACCACGGCCACGGGATGAACAAAAAACACGTGCGATTTTTATGGGCGAAAATCCTTAAGTCGTGGGTCATGCGTCCGCGGTGTATGTAGTAGTAGTAGCAGGAATTCTAGTAGTAGAAGTAGTCGTAGTAGTAGTAGTGCGTCGTAGTATTACGTCCACATCCACGGTGGTACTAGAGGAGCGGCACGCACGCACTCATTTAAATTGAGGATGAAACCCACCCACGTTAATCATAAATGAAAAGATACTTGTTTCTGATGCAATTACCTACGGAGACGAGTACCCGTGACTTAATCTCCAACAAAAAATTGGCAGATCTCACGTACAGTGGGAATCTACGATATGCGAAACACGAATGAAGAAGGTTGATATGTCACTTTAATATGAGCACAATGTTACGAGGTGGAGGTAAGTTAGGCCATGCATGACTTTCTTCTCTTTATTATCATGTTTGAACACGTCATTTACCTTCGTCATCGATTACCGTCACCTGATACTAAATTTGCTATATGTGGAGATAGCGAAACGGCCACAAGCGCATCATGAATGGCCCAATACACTCCGACGTAACGTTGACGCGCGTGCACAATGGACACAGCGCTTCATAAGTGGGGTATGTAGTCATGTTGTTACATGACACGCATGTCATGATTGTCATGTTTTCCCCAGTCACATGCCTTTGTCATCCATTCACGTCCCGTACTACCAAATTTGGTATATGTAAAGCTAACAAAACAACCGTGAGCGCATCCAGAGCCTGGCATGTAGTCATGTTCTAAAATGACACACATCTCATGACTATCATGTTTGCACCAGTCATATACCTTAGTCATGCATTCACGTCCCGTAATGCCAAATTTGGTACACGTGAAGTTAGCGAAACGACCACAAGCGCAGCATGAACGTGACGCGTAGTCATGACTCATGACTTACATGACATGCATGTCATGGTTTTTACGTTAGGGTCTGTGGCTTGCGCTCGTCATGCAGGCATGTCATACCATACCAGTTTTGCAACATATCATGTTAACGAAACTACCGCGAGAGCTGAAAGACCATGAAGTGTAAATCGTGACTTTCATGACATACATATCATGATTTTTATGTTACGACTAGTCAATCACACTTGCCATACAGTCACGTTATGCCATACCAAGTTTGGTATCGATACCATTATTAAAACGACCAGGAGAGCTAACAGTCGTAAGCGGCTAGATAGATAGATAGACAGATAGATAGATAGATAGATAGATAGATAGATAGATAGATAGATAGATAGATAGATAGATAGATAGATAGATAGATAGATAGATAGATAGATAGATAGATAGATAGATAGATAGATAGATAGATAGATAGACGGACGGACGGACGGATGAACGAATAGATGGATGGATAGATAGATAGATAGATAGATAGATAGATAGATAGATAGATAGATAGATAGATAGATAGATAGATAGATAGATAGATAGATAGATAGATAGATAGATAGATAGATACGCTCAAAGTCATTGAATTTCGCTAAGAAATGCTTCGCATTCATAGTAAGAGAAGGACGTACTTTGAGCACAATATCGGACCAAAAAAGGTTCCCACGTTAAACGCGCTGGGCGTAACCTCCTTTTTTTAACAAGGTTTGGCGAAGGTTGGGCCGCAGTGCCATGAATTAGACACGAAGCGCCGGGCGTAAGAGGGTGCACGCGTCGGGCCGTGCCAGCTCTCGTTTAATCCTTTGGATTTCCGCTCGATGGCGGTACTTCCATAGGATGAATAGATGATGAAATTATGCGAAATGGCGATACTTGTAGTCACTGCATGGACGGACGGATGAACAGACGCATGCACATACTGACGGATAGACATACAGATGTATGGTCGGACGGATGGATGTACGCATGAATGGACATACGCACGGACGTACGGATGAATGGAAGGACGCAAGGAGGGATGCACGGACAGACGAACGGCCACACGGATGGACGGATGCACGAATGGTTGCACAGATGGTCTCACGGACGGACGGAAACAAGAACGAACGGGCAGATGGGAGCGTGGATGGACTAGCGGATGCTTCGCCACACTCATCATCATGCACTCCGTGGATATGCCGTGATTTTTCATCCAGCGGCCGTGGTGGAATACTGAGTACTCTAATTAACCACTGCTTCTAAACACATCTCGACTCGCTCGCTGGTTTTCGTGTCGACTGGTTGTACCACCGCGATCTCCAACGACAGTGCAGTTCTGGCCGACTGGGCTCGCCCTACTCCATCTCCTGACACCGACAAGAGCTCTCGCCGAGAGGTGACCCGTCCTCGCACTCCTGCGACCGTGTCCATCTTTCCTATCTCCTCCTTACTTCAGTCATTTTCTGTCGTTCGCTGTCCCTGCGCCTCGCTCTCTCTTATCTTTTAATCCTATTCTTTTATTACCTCCTTACCATCACCCCTTCGTTGGCTACTGTTTAGGTGTCCTCCCCCAAGAGACAGTTACGGGGCTCACTTCTCTCTTCTTTTCATTTAAAAATAACTCAATAAAAAACACATGTCAACCGTAGCACATTGCGTGTAGTGCTCTAAAGCGTTCATAATTTATTCTTAAACGGGCTCTTACACACTCTTTTGAGTAACCATAAAATTATTTCACTTGAGGAGATTATTGCAGCACGAATTCCACGCTGCTAAAATTTAAAGAATTCATCCAGTATAAGCGGAGTTACAAAGATTTGTCACACACGGTGGAGGCGGAAATGTAGGCCCGTGTGCTCAGTTTAGGTGCACGTTCAAGAACCTCAGGTGGTCGAAATTTCCGGAGCCCTCCACTACGGCGTCTCTCGTAATCATATGGTGGTTCTGGGACGTTAAACCCCACATATCAAAGATTTGCCTACAATCGCATTCCCTCTTCTCTCGTTCCGACGGAAGCACTGTAAGCTAAGTAGGGAAAAATGGGAGGTGCAAACAGAAAACGTCAAGCACGCCTCATGACATTGAGCACTTTTTTTCTTTTTTTCTTTCAATACGCAGCTTTCTCAGTGCAATGGCACGTGGATTCGTGGACAAGCGACGGCCTGCCGCATCGATCTCTGTAACGGCCTAGCGCGCCGTGTTCAAATCAGAAAATGGCTCATAGATGGGCGTTCTACGTGCGATTTTTCAGCATCTTCCGTCAATTGTCGGGGGAAGAGAAAGCAATTTTTCGCTGACTTTAATAATTGATTGTGAATTCTAGGCCGCGTGCTGCGCTATAACATTTTGCTCGCGTGTTTTTGGGAGCCTCTACTACCAATCGGCAGCGTTTGCTGACCATGCTCGAAAAGTGTTGCAGGACCTTTTTAACACGCCTTCAACAGCCTCTAACTGCTCTCCCGTAGTTTCTGACGAAGTACTCGAAATTTCCATACGCATACGTTTTATGTACTGTGGCGGCGACTCTGCTTAGAGGAAGTACGCCGCAAACCTCATAAAGGCGCCTATTCCGCGCTCCTGTAAATGTTCCTTATCGTGTGGATTACTTCGGCAGACGCAACGTGCGTTATTGCGAGCGCTCAACGCGTCTCTCCTTTAGCCCGTTTATGTTTTATCCTATAGGCACCGAACACTGACCAGAGAGAGCTGCGTTGCTCACACTGCCCCGTCTCAATGTCTTTGACATTCGCCATTTGGGGCACGCATAAAATTGACGCGCGCTCGCGTCCTTCATGTATCCCGGCCAGAATTTGCCGACAGATGCAGGGTGCGAGACGCGCGCGTCGCATTCCATTCTCACTGAGACCCGTCTCAATGTTGCTTTTTTTATCCGCTAAGCTATGTATTCAAGCGTTGCAGTCATACCGTAAAACTCAACTAAACGGTGCTAATTGTGAACTGCCCCACCATGGTGGTCTATTGGCTAAGGTACTCGGCTGCTGACACCAGGTCACCGGATCGAACCCCAGCTGTGGCAGTAGGGCTGACAGGAGGGCTAGTTGGTAAAAATTCATAATGAAAAAAATTGTATGCACTGTTAGATTGTGAAATCTCGTTTCTGGACGACACCTGATCATGGTGGAACCTTCTCCCCAGTTTTTCCCTTTCTCATCTTTCTGGTATATAATTTCTTCTGTGAATAAACTGCGTTTCAGTCTGCGCTTGTTTGTCTCTTCTCTCGTGTCCCGTTGGTCTGCGCTTCCTATTATTTCCCAGCTGTGGCGGCTGGATTTTCCATGGAGGCGAAAATGCTGTAAGCCCGTGTGCTCAGATTCGGGTGCAGGTTAAAGAAACCCAGGTGGTTGAAATTTCCGGAGCCCCATACAGTGGCGTCTATCAAAATCATATGGTGGTTTCGGGACGTTAAACCCCAGATATCAATCATTATAGAGAACTAGAAGTAGTTCACTCTCCTTTAGCCCAACTGGCCCGCCCTAACATGTGATCCTTGCTATGGTGGAACAATTCAAGCGAGCACGCAACGCGTATTCATCGTGGTGATCGGTGCCATTAAAACGTATCGTACCGAAAAGATCAATGTAAACATACGTGGTGGCTAGCTACGCAAGTGGACGATACAGATGTTACGCGATACCACACTCATGACAAAAGTGGCTGCAGTCTGAACGCTACTCAGAAGAGCTACAATGACACGTCATGCGTAATTTTCGTGCAGATTACAAGCGCATTCATCGATTGCGCCAGTGGTCTCCTGAGTGCCATCTCATGGAAGGACACGAAAATTCGCGTGAACCAGTCCTTCTACTGGTACATCGGTCACGCAGGTAACAACACCGAGTTCAAGTACCGAGCTTCTGGCGCCTACATCTTCAGACCGCAGCAACAGGAACCATTACCGGTGGCGGACAAAGCCGAGCTGGTACACATTGAGGTCTGTTCTTCTCAATTGTTCAATTGAAATATTTCACTTTGAAAACACTTTTAAACAGCTCGTGTGTAGCCTTTGTAATAATGCACTTGAAACACACAAAGTAAAAAAGAAGGAAGTTCCAAACCTTGATTAAGAAAAGTGCGAGATACCCTGCATAATCTATATTTAATGAAAAAATTTGTATACATGAGGCATGTTTATAGATAAATCATCTCTTCAAGCTCTCATGTTCCCTTTAACTTCTGCTTTCTCTCGAATTCAATTGTGGGACTCACTCGCACTGTAAACGGGGGGGATTAAGATGTCTACATCAACACGCGGGGTACATTAAGAGCATTGAACCTAAATGTCGGCGAACTCACTCACGAGTAACTTACTTGGACTTTTTCACGCCCGCGTTCAAAAACGCTCCTCGACTTGACTTTCTTCCTTCACTTGACAGAGCTGAGCACTGCGCCACCACTCAGCTGAAAATGACGCTGTGCTACTCAAGAAGCACAGCAGATTATTGGTGATATGCAGTGACTTGCTGTTTCTAGAGACGGCGCTCCAATCTGCTTTCTCAATTGAGGATGAAGCGTCGAGTGAAGGGACATTCCTGAATACGGGGATCAGACTCGGATCAAGCCTTGAGTCTGAGTCTGAGTTAGTCAGATTGAGTAATATTTTGGTGAGTTTGAGTCCGAGTGGGTCTGGTTGAGAATTTTTTTGTGAGTGTTAAGTGTGAGAGAGTCCTGCTCAGAAAAATTTGGATGATTTTGAGTCTAAGTGAGTCCAGAGCGGTAGGTATATTTCTTGAGTTAGTCTGAGGGAGTTCCACAATTTTTGCCGAACTGTGATTGGTAACTTAGGGGCACAGCTTGTTTTTCATAACAAAATGTCAAGGGGTGTGATCACATTGGAAATCAAGTGGTCAATACCGGCCAAGAAAAAGCTATCAATGCTCAAAACTGAGGTGAAATAAACCAGCATGGTTTAAATATTGTAATTACCAAAACTAACGAAAAAGTAATCATAATTATTACCTCACGATTGCTAAAGGCACTTCATAAGCATGCAATTAACACCCACGCCGCACGAAAGAGGGCGCCATTGTCTCTCCGTAAACGCGTTGGCTCTTCTGACCAGCGCTTTTCCGGTGCCATTGTTGCAAACTTCGGCAAGAGATCATGCATAAGGACAAACTGACCACAGCGCAACGCGAATCGCTGGTTGTCCGAGCTACGCATTTGCATGGTTTTCAGAGTAGAGAAGCTGAATTTAGCGCGGTATTAGGAACTACAGCAGCCCCTACAAAAGAACGACGTTGGCGCTATATCATTATGTTAAAACCCGCGTTATAGTTTAGTTCCCTTCTATTGGAGAGAGAGAGACAGGGAAGGATAGAGAGAAGCGGGAAGCGAATGTGTGAATACGCGCTGCAGGGCTGCCCTTGAATATACGCCTGAAGTGAAACTGTAAAAACGTCGAGTGTAAGGTTAATAAAGAACGATATTCACTGCTTTTGGTCTTATTTACGATAAAGCTTCTTAGAAGTCTTGCGTAATGTTTAAAGCTTCGTCAGCCGACCAAGACAATAACGTAGGGCGAAAGATACGTATTATGAGAGTGCAGAAGCTGAGCTTCAGTGTGGGATGAACTCGGCGACAAAACGCAAGGACGAGTAACACAATCCTCATGTATATAAGGGCAACATTTGTGTGGGCTCCACTCACTTCAAAGCGGATTTTGGAGTTCCTGCTTTGTGAAGTACATTCCGAATAAAAAGCGACGTATTCACTATATTGTGCATGTCTGTCTATCTATCTATCTATCTATCTATCTATCTATCTATCTATCTATCTATCTATCTATCTATCTATCTATCTATCTATCTATCTATCTATCTATCTATCTATCTATCTATCTATCTATCTACCTATCTATCTATCTGTCTATCTATCTATCTGTCTATCTATCTATCTATCTATCTATCTCTATCTATATATCTGTCTGTCTGTCTGTCTGTCTGTCTGTCTGTCTGTCTGTCTGTCTGTCTGTCTGTCTGTCTGTCTGTCTGTCTGTCTGTCTGTCTGTCTGTCTGTCTGTCTGTCTATCTATCTATCTATCTATATATCTATCTATCTATCTATCTATCTATCTATCTATCTATCTATCTATCTATCTATCTATCTATCTATCTATCTATATATCTATCTATTCTCAGGCATACTACTCTCTTACACCTCCGCTGGCCAACGTTCATTTGACAGCAGGCTGTGCAAAACAGATGATTACTACAACGCAACGAAACTAAGCTTCGCTTGGTGCCTGCCTTTTGTCCGTGTATTTTTTTTTCGCACTATAGTAATCTTCACTTGACGGGATAAAGTGGAGTGGTAACGTAAAAAACTAATTTCAGTTATCCACATAAGGTCATTTAATCTATGCATTATGCTTGATCATTATTTTTTCGTTCATTAATACGACGCAGTATAAGAGAGTGATTCAGCCTTGCAATGTTGACTTGATCCCATGAAGTAGTATTAGGGTATCACAGCTAACTCGAGCAATGCACGAGAACACAGGTGCGTGAAAATGAACTTTAACTCAACTGAGCTTGCTGTCTTTTTGCGAAAATGGCTGTCAACTTTCCATGATCTTTCCGGGTAAGTTCTCCAAGGAATTGTAACTGGTTCTCTTTCAAATATTCGCAATAATTTTTCATGTCGCTCCTTGTGTTCACTATGAGTGTACGAAACACTCACCCCAAACAATTTTTATGCCACTTATTGTATCAGCTATGTTCTCTTGAAACTGACCACCTGCTTGGACCTAAGGGTCTGCAGTATGCATTAAATAAATAAATAAATAAATAAATAAATAAATAAATAAGTATACAGAAAGGCGGGATAGTAGGTTTGGCTGTCTACTTGCCGCTATGAATCCTGTTTCCTGTACTGGCCGGTATACGTTATTGTTGAGCGAGTGCGTAGGCTTAGTATGAAACCATAACGCATGAAAACATTATTGTGGTGGGGCAGCCCGTCTGATTGAACATCTCCTGTTTCATATCCACCGCAGAAAAATGGCACCATTGTCCAGGAAGTTCACCAGAAGTTTTCCGACTGGCTGACGCAAGTGATACGGGTGTACGATGACGCCGATTTTGTCGAATTCAACTGGGTGGTTGGTTCCATTCCCGTGGCGTAAGTACAACCGTTCAGTTTGTTGCTGGTTGTTACTGGGCTTTCTTGCTATGCTGAGTGTTGGCGCTCTACCCGCAGCCAAGTTTTATGAATATGAGGACGCTTTAGCTTCGCCTTCGAGGTTGGTGCTCAATATACGCACCCATACAGTACACACTGGATATGTGTCATACAGGATATACGCATGTACGCAGATCTCAGGATGTCAGTGCACATTCTTGATATTTAAATGAGTTGTAAACACGGTAGTCCTTTTTAGGATATCTGGTAGCAGAAATTTCGATCTGCCTGTCTGTCACGATCCAGCCGCTCTGCCAAAGTTTAAGCATTCGCCGAACTCCCAGCCATTTTGAACTGCGGGCTGCGTTCATATCTGTGAACATTGTCGACTAAAGGACAAATATTATGCATATTTCAAGCGCAACGTCAATAAGTGAGAATGGTGCCTTGCCTTACCTGAAAATACATAAACACCAAACTATAAACACCCTAGTCTTTCTTATGCTGCGTCGAAATTGCGACGCTATGCACGGGAAAGCGCTTTGCCAACGATGCGGTGCTGCTACCTGAAACAGGCCCATTGTTCTGCACAAGCTCCTGTTTCCTGACACTACTGCCAGATGGCGTACATACCTCACGCAGCATATCCTCTATTTTCATCAATGCCAGCCAGATGAGACTGCCTCAACATAAAGGAGGCGCCGTCTGAGGCAAGGTGAAACGCAAATGGTCGCTAAGTAGAATAAAACCCACACAAGACATCCCCATGGATCATGTAGTGTGGCCGGCAGAAGAATATCGGCTTTTGACGACATTTGCAGTGAAGCACGCCGATACACGACCAATTTTTAATGCTAAAGGTTGAAAATCAATAATTCAATTACGGAAGTGGGCGCAGAACAGCGTCACACAGGGGAGAAAAACCACAAGCTTTCTTTATTGTGCAATTATAAGTGATCTTCCTTCCAAGGTGAAGCAATTAGTTCAAGGCCCCATTCGCTCACGCCACTCGACGTGACTTCCGAATCATCGGACACTGCTCCTGTGGCTCTAAGCTGGTCAGTGCAGTCTCCCAGGAGGAATGGGAGGGTGAAAGAAGAGGGGGTAGAACAACCGGTGTGGACATTTCCAGGTGGAGTGATCTACTGTGGGCTTCGCTCCCTAGTAGAGAAGACATATTGTGCACAATAGCGCTGTGGTTTGTGCACCCTGCTCTTTTTGTGTTCTTTCTTGTTTAAACCCTAAACCCTAATTGGATAATGCGTGTAAATTCAGTAAGTCCGTTTAGACCAGAAAAGTCTAATATTAGAATTTTACCATTGTCAAATTAACAACTTCGGGTACATTATTTTATGATGAAAGTAAAGCCAAAGCTTCACTTTGCAATTTCGAATCACAACTTCCTAATTTAAGTACCGTTCAGAAGTGGAGGATTCCCACGTCTTGCTGTCGTACTTTGGTCCCGTTCTTTCAAAACTTCTCTTGACCTCCCTACTCTTTCTAACAGAAGTAAGAAAGCTCACCTATGCCTCTCCCACTAAATGTTTTTCATGAACCTTGAAATAAAATGCACATTGTTCTCACCGCCCTCTTACGTTTCATCTCGCATCGAGCATAGCTTTAGAGTTCATGCGCCATTCCGCCATACCAACATGCACTTCCACTCCTCCCTGTGAAGACTTCGAGTGGAATGTTCCATCGCCAGCGACCCTATCATGCATCCTTCAAGACGGCCGTTTTTTTCTGCCACTTGGCTTTGTAACGCCACAAATGGTATTGAGAGTATTTAAATATATAAATGATCATAGTTCCTTCAAATTTAATGCAATAATTGTGTAGCTACCTCAAGACAAAGCATCTTTCACTTTTATATTTGGAACGGGGTAGGCCTTAGTCGATGCTATTAAATTTATGACCTCATGACGCTGGCGCGTGGTAGAATCAGGATGGTGGCAGTGACCTCTTTCTCGTATTTTTTTTCATTTGTAAGTTTTCTAGCTAACCAGGCATTTCTTCAGAGCAAGATTTGCGCTCTTGTTTTTGCGAAAAAAAGTATTCAGTTATTGTGACAGCAATTTTTTCTATTCTGCATTTTTTTATTACCACAACGCGCGTGAAGAACAACATCACTAATTGTATGTAATATAGACTGTTCTTTTTGTGTTCTCACGTCATTTATCCGAAGCTTTCTTTTGGAGAATGACATTGATTTTTTCTCCCCGTTTGCAGCGACCAGAAAGGAAAAGAAATTATCACAAGGTTTGATACCGAACTCAAGAATGACGGAATCTTTTACACGGATTCAAACGGAAGAGAAATTATTCAGCGACGGTAAGAAAACTTGGGGCACCATCTTCTATTTACCCCTTAATTCCTTCTGAACAGTGGAGCTGTTTAAAGCTTCTTGTTCTGCTTTCGGTGTTTGCAAAAGCTCGCCAGCGGTTCACGGCATTGTAAGTGGTTATGTGCCACGTAACTTCTAGCACAGCCATCAATACATAGTGATATCCACCCTATAACCAATCAATGACCAATCATTCAAATCGAATCAATGGGAAATACATTATCAGGTAAACAATAATGGCAAATACACAGTCAAAGTCTAATCATAGTCAATCGAAAGCTAATTAGTTATTATTTCATAATTGATCGATAGCTAAGAAATTAAAATAATCTTTGGATATGCATGTCACCGTTCCAATACATGACCAAAGGCTAGCGATAGCCAATCAATAACCAATGAGTAGCTGCTATATAATCGATGAATAATTAGTGGCTTCAAGTTGCTTGGATGACAGACTGACCCAACTGCGCGACCAAAGCCACGTGAATACTAATCAGTAGCCATTGAACAGTTAATCGATCAATAATCACTACGTTATAGAAAATTTTCTAATGAGCTAAAATACATGGCCACTAAGTTGTGTCTACCAATTGATAGTCAATAAATAATTGATGATTACCTTTTGAATTCCAGAAAATACGTGCTTGTGCTAACTTTACTTATTTGCACGATGCGCCAAGACGGAAAGAACGTGAAAGAGGGCAGGGAAAGAAATAGACGGAGAGAGAAAAATGGGCAAAAGAAACAGGCACAAACACGATACAGAACTTAGACATCTAGCATAGTAGTGTATTACATTGTATTGTATTGCAAGGGGCGTGAAAATGAGAGTGTGCTGGAGGAGGAGCAAGAGCAAGAGTTTAAAGAGTAAAACTTAGCAAAGGCTTGTGTAGTGCAGCATAGCAGGGGTCGAATAGAAAGGTGAGGTGAGGAAGAGCAATAGGAGATGATAAGGTAAAGCAATACAAGTCTTCTTGAATATATTATCGCGAGGGGTGGAAAACGAAAGTGATGGAATAGCGGAGAAAAAGCGGAAAGTAACGCCTATAGCAGCGACGCTGCTTCCTCAGTCTTCGCACCCGCTAGGGCTGGAATGCCCCAAGGTTGTTTTTTTTTTACATGGATGTTATGTTGTTCACTGCGCTTTCTAGAAGACAGAGAAGCTACAGAAACAAAAATCTGGTTACGGTTTAAAAGGAGCACCCGTATTTAGCGGAATTCGTTGAACTACAGCGCAATAAATGCGACTTCTCTGTTTTACTCCGTAAATGGAAAACCTTAGCGACTGGTCTTGAGACTCAAATTGATGTAGTTGACGAGATATTGATTTCTGCAAAGAACCTAAAAATTTTTCGTCGTCACACCTTCGTTGTGATAACTAAGGAAGTTAATCAATAAGTAAATAAATGAATAAATAAATACAGTTGAAAAACTGTCATGTGTTTTTAAAACAGTTAGTTGTAGGAAAGCAATAGGTTTCATCATCCACGCATCATTTTGCCGTCATCTAGTACACGGCGCCAAGCTATAGACGTAGATTATGGTAAGTTAGGTAGTGATATAATCGAACCATGAAGGTACTGCGCGCTCATGTTTACCTATTCTTCTTTTGAGTGCCCGGCAACTGTATGAATGCTCCTTTCGAAACTATATTTAGACGTTAATATATATATATATATATATATATATATATATATATATATATATATATATATATATATATATGTATATATATATATATATATATATATATATATATATATGCAAAATTCTGGGAGGATTTTTAGTGTTTCTGATGTACCTAGGAAGCTTTTATATATATACATATATATATATATATATATATATATATATATATATATATATATATATATATATATATATATATATATACATATACATATACATATATACAGTGTTCACGCATCTTCGATGATCCACTAGGCAAAATTCAGGAAGGATATTTAGGGTTTCCGATGTACCTAGGAAGCTTCGCCCATTCGTCATCATGGACTGCGTGGATACGCTGGGATTGTTTTCTATTTCGTATTCTTTTCTGTGTGTTCTCTGTCTTTCTCGCTCTGCATATTTCTGGCCACTCGTTCACTTTGTCCTCATTACTTCCCTTTAATTTCCATCTTTATCTCTATATCTTTGCCTTTCCTAAATTTTCTGTTTCTGTCGATTGCTCTCCTTCTTTTTGAGCCATTCCATTCTCTATTCCCTCCTCTTTTTCACCTCCTCACCCTAACATCTCTCTCGCCCTCTTTCGCCTTCACCACCTTGCTGTGCGCATAAAGACTACAAAGCTACGCTCTGAAGGACTAGCGTGCCTGGAGAGCCGAGTGGTTAGGACGTGCGCCTTTGGATTAAAAGTACATGAGTTCGAATACCGCTTTCCCAAAATTTTTTTCTCTTTATATCTCCCTTCTACAGTGAAAGCTGTTATGAGATCACAACTTGGGTCACGCACAGTTGTCCGCCGCCACCGCCGGTGTCCGTAACGACATCACGCAAAATTAGAAAAAAAAATCGGCATATCTCATGTACCTGGGAATCGACGTTATGCGAATCATGCGGAGGGAAGGTGACCGTGTTGCAAAATTTTCATTAAGCCAGCGACACCTAATGAAATGACGCTAAATATATGTACAAATGTTACACGCAGAGACATATGTTGAAGAGTTGCAGATGTTTATATAACCAGTTGCTTGCACTTGCGCAACAATGCCAACTGGAACATGCATATTATGCAGCAACCCCAATACTGGTATGAAGCGCTGATGCTCGCGAGGATGCTGGCCCTAGACACTGCTACATAAATGAACTTCAGCGCATGGAAACTAACCACAATTAACGTTAGCCCGACGTGACGGCTGGATCAAGCAAGTAAATATGTGATGTTTATAAAATTGGATGGGCAGCATTGCAACTATAAGCGATGTTTCATGAATGTTAGTGTCTATTTGAAAAGTAGTTCTCAGACCTGCCGTAGCTCTGTGGTAAAGTACTCACTGCGGGAACTGTTTGACGATGTACGCGATGAGATTGCGGCATTACTCATGTCTTGACCAGTGCGTCATATTCGTCAAACCATCTTACCCTCCCATGCTAATTTTGATTCACACCACGTTAAAGAGGTGACCACAAGAGCACCCAAACGTAAGTAAATAGATAGATAGATAGATAGATAGATAGATAGATAGATAGATAGATAGATAGATAGATAGATAGATAGATAGATAGATAGATAGATAGATAGATAGATAGATAGATAGATAGATAGATAGATAGATAGATAGATAGATAGATAGATAGATAGATAGATAGATAGATAGATAGATAGATAGATAGATAGATAGATAGATACGCTCAAAGTCGCGGAAGTTCGCTAGGAATTATATTCCTCATCGTTGTCAGTCACTGCATGAACAATTGGCACGAAATTCCTTGTAAAGGCTTAGCGGATACCGCGCTTCTCAGAAGAATGATGAAAAGTAGCATAGCGAATGCCGGCCTACTACCCAGGACTCTATTATTATTGCCCTAGTGGGTATCAAGTAAGTGTGCTTGCAGTAGCTACCCAATGAGTGTTTTGAACAGGCTCTGAAAGGCCGCCCTTCTAGCTTTCGCTATTGTGCTGCGCCTTCCGCGCAGGCCTGACGTTTTGAATGCGAAGCATTTCTTAGCGAAATATGGTGGCTTTGAGCATATCTATCTATCTATCTATCTATCTATCTATCTATCTATCTATCTATCTATCTATCTATCTATCTATCTATCTATCTATCTATCTATCTATCTCTCTATCTATCTATCTATCCGCTTACGACATTTAGCTCTCCTGGCCGTTTCGACATTGGTGTGGATACCAATCTTGGCATGCCATAACATGAATGCATAACGAGCATAAGAGACTAGTCATAACATGAAAATTATGATATATATGTTATGAATGTCATGATTTACATTTCATGGTCTTGCTGCTCTTGCGGTGGTTTCGTTCACTTGCTATGTTGCAAAACTGGCATGCTATTACATGACTGCATAAAAAACATAGGTGACAGATACTAACGTGGAAATCATGACATGCATGTCATGATATTCATGTTATTGCTAGTCATGAATACATGCTAGGCTAATGGTGCGCTCGAGGCCGTTTCGCTAGCTGGGCATCTACCAAATTTGCTATTACGAGAGGTGAGTGAATGACGAAGGTATGGGACTGCTGCAATTATGATAATCATCATTGCAGGTGCGTATCATGTAGCAACATGACAACATGTGACGTTCATGATGCGCTCGCGGCCGTTTGGCTAGCGTCACATATACCAAGTTTGGTTTTACGGGACGTGAATAGACGACGAAAGTGTGTAATTGATGCAAACATGATAAACGCTAGTGCAGGTGCGTGTCATGTATTGACATGACTACATGCGACGCTCTTGATGCGCTCGTGGCCGTTTTGCTAGCAACACATATAGCAAGTTTGGTATTACGGGATGTTGATAGTTTACGAATGTATGAGACTGGTGCAAGCATGATAAACATGAGATGCGTGTCATGTAAGTACATGACTACATGCTACGCTCATGATGCGTTCGTGGCCGTTTCGCTAGCTTCGCATATGCCAAATTTGGTATTACGGGACGTGAATGGATGACGGAGGAATGTAACTGGTGCAAACTTGATAATGATGACATGCGTGTCTTGTAACAACATGACTACATGCCACACTCAAGGCACCATTACACTTCGACGTGACCCGGCGCCCGTGCGCGCCGGCGTTCGTTTCGTCGCATCACGCCGGCGATGCCACGCCATGCTCCGATCTGCCTGTCATATACTTGCAGGCACGCGCCACGTAGCAGTGCTTTGAAGCATGCGCGTATGAACGCGCGCGGCGTCCCTCCATCACGAGAGACAGGCGCAGTGCTGTCTAGGTAGAGCTGGGTAACGTCATGGGCGCGAAATGCAGCATGTTGCATTCCGCGTCGGTTGTCGCCGGGCCGCGGCGGCGGATGCTGGTCGCGCCTGTTGCGCCTGGCATCCGTTTTGCTAGCACAGCGTCACTGCGCTCAGCGTGTGCGCTCGTCAACGTTACGTCGGAGTATATTAGGCCTTTCATTATGCGCTCACGACCCTTTCGCTAGCTCCACGTATACCAAATTCGGTGTTGTGTGACGTCAACGAATGACAAATATATATAATTGGTGCAAGCATGATAATATTGACACGCGTGCCAAGTAAGAACATGACAACATGCGACACTCATGATGTGCTCGCGGCCGTTTCACTAGCTCCGCATATACAAAATTTGATATCACATAACATGGATAGACAACGAAAGTAAATGAAACGTCCAAACATGATAATCATGATATGCGTGTCATGTAAAGCATGACTACATGCTATGCTCATAGCGTGCTCGCGGCCATTTTACTGGCTCCACATACACCAAATTTGGTATTACGTGACGTGAATGGACGAAGGATGTAAATGACAGGTCCAAACGCTGTAATCATGATATGCGTGTCATGTAAAACATGGCTACATGCTACGATCATAGCGCACTCACGGCCATTTCGCTAGCTCATCATTACCAAATTTAGTATCAAGTGACGTGAATGGACGAAGGTAAATGACACGTGCAAATATAATAATCAATACATGGAAGTCACATAGGGCATAATTTATCTCCGCGTCGTAATTGTTGTGCTGATTTTAATGTGGCATGCCAACCTTTCTCTTTCATGCTTCGCATATTATCGGTTCCTACTGTATGAGGAATCTGCTGATTTTTTTTCTTTTGTGCTGTATCGATGCACTCGTTCTCTCAGCCATCAGACTCATTCCACCTCGCACCAGAGAAATCGGCACAGGGGTTTTGGGTGCAAAGAATAAAATGAAGGTGATGACTGAGAAAGTAGATGTTTAAGACAGCACACCGATGAATTTCCATTTTGACTACATAACCGGTGCAACGTAACGCTGAAAGGGCTCTTAAAATATGCTGACATTTTTTCACATCATCTTCCGACACTAATTTGAATTTTTATATATGTCCGTGTTGACTGCAAGTTAATAACTCTCATTGACGAGCTAACAGTACTACTTTTGCTTTTTGCTACCAGCCTGAACTACAGACCAACGTGGAACGTTAATATCCAGGAGCCAGTGGCTGGAAACTATTACCCCGTCAACAGCAGGATCTATATTGCGGTAAGGTGGGGTTATAATTACAGAAGGCATGACAAAGGGATACTTGCTCGTGAACCTGTATGTACTGTGTACTGATTGAGAGCAACACGAAAAAAAAAAGATGCACGTACTCCTTGCCCTTGCAATGTTGCTTTCACAAGGCACTTGTGCGGGACATACACAAAACTTGAACCTTCGATTTAAAAAAAAAAGCTATGTACTTGCGAGGATTATTCACTATGACTCGACTGTCCATTTCCGCACAGTAATTATTCACAGCAGTGGAACGAGAATTTTACCCAAATATTTGTAGCAGCCGGAAATACTGTCCTACTTGAGAGAGGACGATTGCTGTTCCCCCGTGAGTCACACCAACATCAAAGGATTTTCTCGTCGCTTCGTGCTCCCGACGACTGAACGACCTTACTACACTGCGCAGTGTCTTGCAAATCTGCAAAACGTAGTTGCCATTTCAGTAAAAGTTTGCCAATTCGCACTTAGTTCATTTCAATTCACAATTAATTCGAACTGACACCCTTGTTCTGGCACAGCCCGGTGTATTTCTATCAGAGAAAATTCTCGTTAATTTTAGTGAGTAAGTAAAGTCTACGATTAATTGGAATTCAGAGTGCTACGTTATCATAATTCCTCGCCGAAGTTGGCCGAATATGATTTCGAAGGAAACCAGGTTTACTATAGATGCGAAACAACGAAGGCGGAACATTTTTCGGGAGTTGAGAATCCGCACGTCGTGCTGCAGCTCACAGACAGCTGCAAACGATACTCATAGAGTCGCGATTAAGTGGTGCCAGCTAATTAGTTCTAGTTTTGATTGCACCATCTTTCCCAGTAATTAGAGGTGCTTTAGAGCATAAAAGGCACCATATATTCCACATTAAGTATCACTGCTAACATGACTGCATGTGAGTGCTCGCTTCACCGACTTATCAAATAATTTTGTTCACTCAATCAATTGATTTTGATCCATGAACTTCGTTTAAGTAGTCACCCACCACATGCGTGTAGTAGCACTTAGGTCGGGATAAAGAGTTCAAAGGTGACTTCATCGGGTTCTGCCGATGCATTGTGGTACGATGTTCGTTCCTTCTAATGCCCGCCCGCAAAACAGAACTCCGCTTCATTCGAACCATCCTATAGATTCCTTCGAATTTGAAGTAATGAACTTTTAATGCACCTCCATTTCTAATAGGCTTTTGCAGAGTAATCAAAGACTCGTTTCGTCCTTACTGTATAGTTATATCCATTGTTCACAATTGTAGTATTTTAGGCGGTAGACAGGTCAGATTGCCTAAAAAGAGGAGTTAACCACTGTTTATCACTATTGCTGCTTGTACTTAGTTGACCTCGATTGTTTTCCTAATATGAGACCTTTCTTTGTTTCTTTTAAACCAGGATCCCACAGAAAAAGTTCAGTTCACCATGCTCACCGATCGATCTCAGGGAGGTAGCAGCTTGCGAGAAGGCTCAGTGGAACTGATGGTAAGCGCCAACTTTCTCGCCAACTAATCGTAGTAAATGCACATGTGTGACTGCAGGCAACCACCAAAATAGACATTGGGACTGCCAAGTAGACATCTCCTTAAGCAGGTGCGCTGAAGTAAATTGCCTCATTTCATGGCATAACTAACCAGGTAATGCTTCACATGCCTCACCACACATAACACAGCTGAAAGTATGACTTACTCGACTACTTCAATTTTATAACTATTGCGAGCTTGTGCAGCTTTCTTAACCCGGTGAGTCAATTCCATGTCACATAAATGTCCAATAGGCAAGGGTCTCGTATTGGGGCTGCATACAAGATGTCATACGATGGTCAAAGCACGGATATAAGCATTTGTCTTGTTGCGAGACTGTCCGGTATACTGTAGCTATGGTTGAAGTGATATCGTGATTATGAACTGGCAATTGCAGCTATTAAAGCCCTGCAATCAATCGGTACGTCAGATGTGTGAGGAATTTAACTGCACCAAAGGCGGACAACCAAACACGGTAGCAATAAGTATCACAATGTTGGTCACGTGCTTTTGCAATTGATCTTTGGCTTAGACGAGATGTAGGCCTGTGTTTCATTATTGTACGTGTGTGGTATTCGTAGGCTTTCATCGAGGCCGCCTGTACAGTGATGTCACTACTGGCTCTACCTAAAAAACCCATGCGACACATGCATATTACGTGTAACTCACTCCTGATGCAGCTAATTCACTGACGCTAACTGGTACTCGGATCAAACCCTGAGTTCATGTCTAAGTGAGCGGAGGTGAATGATATTCTCGTGAGTTTGAGCACGATTCAGCCTCAAGAGCAAATTATATTTAATCAGTGTGATTGATCTTCACACTGTTTATGAACCTATGTATAGTACATATATTCAATAATCTCCCACAACCGGAAGAACACATCCGAGTTTGTATGTGTGCATATCCGTTTATTGGATGCAAGAAAGACATATGGGAGATAGGCTTATGACGCTCGACTGCAGATTAGAAGGTCGCGTGGTCAAATCCCGGCCGTGGAAGATGTGGCTGCATTTCAAATGGAGGAGGAAACGCTTTAGGTCCATGTACTTAGATTTAGGTGCACGTTGAGGAACCACAGGTAGTATAACTTTCTGAAGCCCCCCACCACGGCGTCTCTCGTGATCACGTCGCAGTTTCGGACCAATAAACAGTTATTAATGCGATACGAAATTTTTAGACACTACCCTCTTGCAATGCCTGATGTGCTTCGGCACTTCTGAATTATTGAAGAGGAACTGTATATATATATATATATAGAGATAGAGATATATATATATATATATATATATATATATATATATATATATATAGAGATAGAGATATATATATATATATATATATATATATCTTGACTCAAAGCTGGTGCACCTGCCGGCAGGTTCACCGGCGGTTGCTATACGACGACGCGTTCGGCGTCGGCGAGGCCCTCAACGAGACGTATTACCACGGTCATGGTCTGGTGGTACGCGGAACGCACAGGGTCATCGTGACTCCACTTGACCAGGCCGCCCAAGTTCACCGACAGCTGGCAGTTGCGACGTACTCAGCGCCCGCCCTCTACTTTGCCCCTGTCGACAGCAAAACCTACATGGCCGAGTGCAAAACCAACGTAAGTGCCCGTTGGTACACGAATTTTTGCGTCAAAGCTGTTGAGGCTTGGAGAATTCCTCTTGGTCGCAAAAAGAAGTTGAACCGTCATCATCGTGGACCGGTACTTGCTCTTTTTGACATATTCCGTACCATTCTTAGGACGCGTCCGCTGATTCATTGGACGCGTCAGAAAACTCTGATGAGCGAGTTGACGACTACATATATATATAAAGATAGATAGATAGAAAAATAAATTGTTAGGAAAATGATTTTTTCAATTCATGAGGTGAAATTCGGACCTTCGAACCCAAATGCAAAGGATAGAGCTTTCTTTTAACTACTCGACTGTACAGACAAGGTAACAGATTGTAGCATAGCCTTGTATAGTATCGCACAGTAATGGTATAAGAAAGGGTATTGATAACCTGGAGGCACTGATTTGTCTAGCGTGGGAGGCAATTACTTGGATGAGTGAAAGAAGGAGTAAAGAGAGAGATCTAAGAATAAAAAGATAGAGATATTGAGAGAAAGCCACAACAAAGAGAAAAAGACAGATCCTGACAGAGAGAAATAAAGATAAACAAAGCTAGAGAGAGTGATAAATGTGTGTATGTATTAAGAAAGAGCTGTGTATAGCCACACAGAGTATAATGTATATCAACAATTGAGAAAAGATTAATGGGGAGGGTAGAGAGGATGATGGTGAGGGATGGACCATAGCATAGCTATATACAGTACGGTATAGCAGGGGAGGGGAGGGTGTGAAGCAGAGCAGGGAAAGGACGAGGGCAGAACTAACAGCTCGGCCTTTTCTTTGTTCTTCGCACCACTAGTCAGTAGGTGCCCCGAATTTTTCGGTGTGATCAGAAGTAATATTTGCGACTGCAACGCCGAAATGGCATGCACAAGTCAGACAAAGAAAAGGGGCTTATAGAAGCTTGTCGTATCCATCTTTGTCGCCAGTGTACTCTTACCACTGTTGCCCTCATAATTCCTTACATGCTCCAGTTTGGTCGATGTGACGCTATGAATCCTGAGACACTAACCACAGTATACTGCCTAGATGTGGTGGTATGACATAGCAAAGTGCTTTGAATTAATAAATGGCGCAAAAAAAACACCAATGATTTCTTTGTAGAGGTGGCTTTTGACGTGTTGTCACTCACGAAGTCCCTCGAACTATTTGCAGGAAGATTACTGTCTTCTTTATTGTTGAATAGCTGTTACTTAGGTCCCTAATTGCTGCAGTCTTATACCTCGATGGATCGGCTATGTTGTGTCAAGGATCGATGGATCGTGCTTTATGTTGTGCCAAGTCAACGCCAAACGTAAAGTTCAGGGTGAAGATTTAGCTAACCTAAGTGGAACATTTTAGTTGCCTAGTTTCTGCAGCTTTAGCAAAGAACTTCGCTCAGAGAGTGTTATGCTTGCCGGCATATGTTTATGAATTCTGCGGTAATACTGCAAATTCTTAATGCTTCTCAATATTATGGGATTTTCAGTACGAAAACAAGAATAGAATGTCCACAAAACAGTTGCAGAACAAGACCCGCACCAAGAGCATTTGAGAGTTCCACGCACAGCTGTTTCATGAATGAGTAATAATAATAACTTGAATGCTTATATTTGATTCTTACATTTGGCATGCATTTTTGTTTAGCTTTTACAGTTTACTTTGCTTTTGAACAGGCCTGTGACAATTGTTGCGTCACAGTCTCATATTATAACGTGAAGCGACATTCATCCATGATTGATTTTTAATTATTTTACTGCTCTCAGAAGAGTCATCATAGATAATACCTCACCAGCATTTTGCAATCTTGATGCGTACAGTGCACCGCTCTCAAGAGGTCGCTACCGGGCAACGTGCAATTGCTCACCCTTGAACACTGGAACAAGGGAGACCAGGTTCTGCTTCGGCTGGAACACTTTTTTGAGAAGAATGACCAAGCGGGAGAATTCTCGAAGCCGGTCAACTTTAGCTTACAGGTGAGACATTACGACGTACTCGGCCACTCATGGTATTTGCTGCACCTTGCAAATGAGTGAAGATTTTCCTATGGGCCTAATGTACCGGTGCACCGGCCCTCCTCAGGGTTCACGAACCCAGCCACAACCTTGACGCAAACCCAGACTCTACTGGTTGAAACCATTGAAATTAAAATGAAGACAACGGCTAAGTTCTCTCTCCCCCCTTTCTCTCTGTATATACATATATCTTCGTTTTTGACATTCACATTATGATTACTTCTAATATTATCTCTGGCAGCGAGTATTCCACATCATGTTAACAAGTGGCGCTAACTTAAACTCCCATGTTTAACTGCCCGTATACCTTAAAAAGTGGATGGGACAGTACCGGCCAGTCTCTGGCCGGAACTGCCAAAATAAACTCTTCCGCTGTTGCTGCTGTTCTCACGGAGGATTTATTTCATTGTTGGCGACGCTACGGTCACTTTCACCAACATGCCTGCGTATATATATTGTGGGCATTTAAAGCACGCTTCTTCATCACCTGCACAAAGCCATCATCACGTAGTGTTCTTCATCTTCATCATTAGTGGGGATGACCCTTTCATCGGTTCTGTGCCTCAGAGGTTACTGTTTTGACCATATCTTCCAGGCCTAATAATGGCGTGTAAAGGACTACGCCGCAATATATATATATATATATATATATATATATATATATATATATATATATATATATATATATATATATATATATATATATATATATATATATATATATAAGGGAAACAAGGGTGTACTTAGTTTTTTTCGTGTCTAACAGACAACAATGCCAAGGAAGGTATAGGAGAAGTTATTAGGCCAATTTTAATGTAAATGAGAAGAAAGAAAAGTGGGTAAAAAGATAACTCGCCATGGGCAGGATCCAAACCAGCGTTTTCGAATAAGGCGTTCGATGCTCTACCACCTGAGCTACCATGACAGCTATCCTCCCGGCCACTTTTCCCCTTATTTATTAACGAGGGTCTCGTACTGGCAGACTTGGTGCCTTTAGGTTGTATACGTGGGACTAGTGGTCAGCTACCAGTTAGTAATAAGCTTACGTGCTACGTGACGCCTAACAGGCTCATAAAGAGTGTGCCACACTCGCCGCCATGACTTCTAGTGGCGCTGACTGACACTCCCACGTTTAAATTGACATGGATACTCAATAAAGTGACTGGAGGGATAGCTGTCGTGGTAGCTCAGGTGGTAGAGCATCGAACGCGTTATTCAAAGGTCGCAGGTTCGGATCCTGTCCACGGCAAGTTATCTTTTCACCCACTTTTCTTCCTTCTCCTTTACATTACATTACATTACAATTGGCCTAATAACTCCCCCTATACCTTCTTTGACATTATTGTCTGTTAGATCTCATAATTATATATATATATTAATATATATATATATATATAACAAGAGAATTCAGGAGGTCCGGTACGTAGAAGAAAAAAAACTGAGTGGGTACACGTACGCGAGAGCAATACTTTTATGCCTAACGTTTTAGACATGGCCCGTCCTTTGTCTGAGAATCACAAAGCCCCTGCAATGACTGAAAAGTTAGGCATGATTGTATTGCTTTAGATTCGGACAATTTTTTAAAGGAGCCATGAGTACAAACTTCACTGTCATGAATGGCATTGAGAGTGGCGAAGCTTTGTAGGGTGAATTTTATGTTCAAGCTTATAAACAGCATCGCAAAATACAATCAATGTTTCAAAGTGCCTAGCCCGCTAATTTGCCCATTTTCAAACTAGTTTTTTCAATAGTTACCATGTAGTCAAAGTGGTGCGCTCATCCACTCATTAAGTGGATCCAACGACTGGAAGCACCTTCCATCCGACATAGTTTGCCTTTGAAATTATAAATTGTTTTATTCTATCATGCGGAATTGCTTACGTGATGATCCGCGAAGTGTATATTGTATACGTAGATTTTTTGTGCTTTGTTTTTTATTTTCCTATCAAAATTTTACTTTCACTCAGTTTTAATGCTTAACTTTGAATCTTCATATTTCCAGTAAACATAATTATTTTGATGTTACGTTGTCTGTCCTTTTTTGTCATCGTTCATTTTATGTACCCCGCTCCCCTCTGTAAAGCTATGTGCGATTGAGGGAAAAATAAGTAAAAATAAAAGAACGAAAGGGCGGAACACTTCGGGAGACCAGGTTGTGATGTGCTGTTGTTGTCGCTTGGCGTGACGCCGGCAGAATCACGTGAAGCATTATCGGCTGTGCTGTGGCGTAAGACTCGAAAGGTGGGCAGCTGTAGAATATTCAGTGCGCTCTCGTTAAAAGAGAAAGAGTTTTTGTTTTTTTGTTCCTAGAGAGCCTTGACGATGATACAGTCGAACCCACCTATAACAATACTCATGGGGCCCCGAAATTCCATTCGTATAACCAATACTTGCGATGAACGGGTTGCATGAAACAAAATGCAAAACGGGGATGGCAAACTGTCGGGATAAAATTATAATATTAGCTGGCATATGCCAACAAATGTGAGTGGTAAGGATGACAATGGTGCCAATTTTTCGTATATGATTGAAAATTCGGACGCTTTCACAGTACCGCTGCATGCCCCATATAGCCCGTTTACGGCCGTGTCTGAAGCTTCAGACACAGAAATGTGTCCGTGTATTTCCAAGTATCAGCTTTTTAAAAACGTTGCATGTCCTAAAGTTTACGAGTCGAAGCAACTATCCGCTCCCGTGCCATCGCGAATTTTAAAAGTGAACTTTGCCGCAATGCGAGAACGCAGTGAGGTTAAGCATAATGTGAATTCGAAGGGCGCTGGCAACGTTGGAGTTCAGGGGGAGGGGGGGTTCAGCCATGGGCATAGGAAGGGGGGGGGGGTACAAAAGGAGTTCTTGAACCCTTACACCACTCAACCACTTGCCCACACCCAAGTTACGCCAGTGCTCTCCCCCTCTTCTGCCGCTATGGAACACGGGAAGCTGAACTCATGTGCCGACGCACATGTGTTCAGCTGCCTTAATTTCTTGCTTTCTCTCTAGCCGAGGGTTTCACGTTGCATTACCTTTCAGCATGGACCAAAAAAAGCCACTATTCATTTCTATAAATGATGATGCGACATGTGGACACTGTATTAAGCAGGTTATTTCCCCATAGAAACATACAAATGTCAACGGCGCTGAAGCTCCTCAGCGTTCTAACCGATATATTGTGAAAACCCGTATCTTTAAAATTAGTTTGACTATTCACCTTTTCATAAACGCCTCCCTGGGTGCCGCCATAGCTCTCCTTGGGCTGTGCAAATTGGCGCGTCCCCTCGAAAATGCACTGACAACGCTGCGCTCTTAGCCTTTGTACTCCCGCGCACAGCCCATCATGGCGGTGTTTTTTTTTTTTCCTGTGAAAAGGTGTTTAAAGTGCCGATATTAGTGCTATAGCTAAATAACATGACCACACAAACCACGTATAAAAAAACACGGGTGATCCATCCGTCATAGGAATTGGTATAACACAAAACTGGACCTTGTCTTCATAGAAGTAGAGCACATTGTGTATTGACATATGAAAGCTGGTACGATTTCTATTAGCGTTTTGCAGCTATGTCACTGTTTGACGTGGACACAGCCACGTTGACGCCTGGTGTCATGTCTCCATGGTGACGACTACCACTGACGATCATGATTTACTTGTTGTGGTAACAGAAGTATTTGCCCTATGTCTGAAGACAGAGTATTCAATCATTCCAGCGACTATAGGCGACGCAGTAGAAGGTCGAAACAGTGGACGCGAGTGTTTACGTCAGCGTCGCAGAGCGTGAAGACGCATTCATTCATTTATGACTACTGAGAGACTGAACTGCGTCGCAGTTTTATTACCGTGTGACAGCTTTGGAGCACGGCTACATGAAGCCGCCAGCGTCGCTGGAATGACCGCATAGATGACATCAACAAGCACACACTAAACACTGCTACTCGATATGTGCATCTTCAAAGATCGTAATTTAGGGAGAGAATTAGCTTAGTTTGCACTGCTGAAACCTATACGCCAGCGCTTACGAATTCCATCCTTCAGAAACGCGAAGCGCAGAGGTTCGTAGCTTGAGCCGCGAGCGCGTGCCGGTGTTGCTCGTCCTGCTGGCCTCAGTTTCGCTCCACCGAGGCATGACACTCTCCCGTCGACATTGTTAGCCTTGAAGCAGTGCTTACTGCAGCAGTTTTATCGCATAAACTGGTGCTATCACACTCGATGTAGTCTGTCGTGAACCATCGTTCGTCCAGTAGGGTTGAGAGCTGGGCTAGTTGGTGAGACATCATTTTTACACCACCACCAGCGTTCCTGTATGCGAGAGTGGCACGACTTCAACAATGAGCTCTCACGCGCTGACGCGAACATAAACACGTCGGCAACTCCCCGATGCTCGTTCCGTCAGGGTTTTTCACTGCTATCGACAAGCTTTAACCATGGTTTCCGAGAAAGTGCCTGTATAGTGCCGGCCCGCAATCTCGGACGCCATGCTTCAACTGCGTCCTGCCGCATTACTTCTCTTGAGCACTCACAAATGATGGCACCACCCCAACCCGTTCAGGGAGCCTTCATATGCGCGCATCTTCGTTAAAAAAAAAAATGGAGACTCGCGCACACAAACCCGACTTGTTAACAGAGAGCACGGGGCGAGAGAGAATGTGTGAAAGATATAAGGCGCGTTCGTAGAGAGACTAGCAGGTGCAGGCAAAAAAAATTGACGTTAAGCGAAGCTTACGAAAGGAAGGTGACCATGTTGTAATTTTTTATTGAGCGACAGGTCATAACATGACGCTAAATATATGTACAAATGTTGCACGCACAGAAAAAAGTTAAATAATTTCAGATGTTTATATAACCAGTTGTTTGCACTTGGGTAACTATGCCAACAGAAACATGAGTATTAGCAACACCAGAAGCGATAAGCTGATATGAAGCACTGGCGCTCGAGAGGATCGTAGCCCTGGACACTGCTACACAAATCAACTCCAGCGTACAGCACACAACTAATATGGTTCTGAATACGAAGTGACGGATGCATGATAGGAGTAAATATATAACGTTCATAAAATTGAATCGCCAGCACTGCACCCACGATTGACGTTTCACGAGCACTAGGGTATATCTGAAACGTAGTTCCGAGACCTGGCGTGGCTCTGTGGTAGATTGCTTGATTGCCGCGCAGAATGCTTGGGTTCATTACTGCTAAAATCCTGCTGTTTATTCTTTACATTTGTCCGATGAACGCTGCTGATGTCGGGTTGGTCCTTGTCTGCTCGCGCAGTTCTCGTCGCTCCTGGATAGATTGTAAACGTCAATCAGCTGTGGCACATACCCGCCCGCGCATATGTGCCACTGTTTGGCGGGAAGTATTTGACCAGGTACGTGACAGGGTTGTTAAATTATTCATGTGTCGAGCAGCCTGTTAAATTCGTCGAACCATCTTACCCTCCCATACTAATTTTGGCTAATGCCAAGTTTGTCTAGATGCTCTTTTGGGTGACCAGGAGAGCACCTAGATAGATAGATAGATAGATAGATAGATAGATAGATAGATAGATAGATAGATAGATAGATAGATAGATAGATAGATAGATAGATAGATAGATAGATAGATAGATAGATAGATAGATAGATAGATAGATAGATAGATAGATAGATAGATAGATAGATAGATAGATAGATAGATAGATAGATAGATACGCATTTTGATGGCAAAAGTGCTTACAGTGCGCGAGAAAATCCTTCGCATTTATTAGCTCAGTCCGTACAGCACTAGGCACTGTTCATTATTTCCCAATGCCCAGTGGGAGAACTCTTCCTTGCATGTTTTTTTTTCTCTTCCTTGTTAAGTAGTGTCCATTTCAGAACATCATACCTTTGACGAAAATACGCCACTGAGGTCTTGGTGCAACCCAGGATGAAACACTTTAGAGGTAGAATTGAAAGAGGAAGCAAACGAAAAATAGATAAAGACATTACTAAAGCAAATAAAATTAGAAATAAAGTGAAACGAAGATGGAAAACCACTGAAAAAACTGGTTACGAGAACAAAGGAGAGAGAGAGGAGGCAAGAGAGAAAAAACAAAAAAAACGGGAAAGGCTTCTTTGCTTGGAACCATGAAGCAGCTCTAACTTTTTGGCACTGCGCTAATTCGGACACGCCTATTTACTATGTATATACAGTGAAGGATTCCCTAGCTTGGAAGCTCTTTCTGAGAGTAACATCAGAATTTTCTTTTTGTCTTTGTACCACACGCAGCTGGGCGACGTTTCTATGTTTCTTTGAAATGGAAAGGATGTTTGAAATAATGGCGCAATTCTAGTTTTGTTTCGTTTCGACCCTTCGTGTCCCATGAAAAAAACGAAGGGTCAGTGTCATCATTATGTTCTCGCGCTATAACTATTGCCATGTCATACCAACTAGCCGAAGTTGCCACACTTCTAGTTTCGTCCTGATTTTTATGTTTATACCTTTGTTCGATACACCTAAATATGTTTACACATTTCCAATTTTTTTCAGTTGATTATTTTGTGTTATTGTCCTTCAGTTTTATCTCAGTTCATTACAAATCGCTTCAGTTGTGAAATTAACAATCGGTGTATACAAGGTCTCAAGGAGGCGTTTTCAAGTTGGTACAAGTATTACAAAGCAAAATATTATCAGTACGAAATAAGTTTGTAATATTTTTATTTGGGCTTACGTTTCATGCGCAAAAACTTTTCGTTAGCAGAACAAGTTTAAATGATTTGGAGAGACAATATCGTTTGTCGTGTCTTTGTCAATATTTTTGCAAAAGGTCGTGAAACTTTTCAAATCAGGTGGTGATCTACGAGGGTTTGCTTTCATTTCCGCCTCAATTTCAGGCTGCTTTCGTGCGGACGATAGAGGACATGACGGAGATGAACCTGGTTGCCACAGAAACGAAAGGGAACACCAGGCGTTTCGAGTTCGAAACTGAAGGAAGCCTCGAAGCGAAGGGCCTCATGTCAGGTAAGCCGCGTTCAACCCTGCTTGGGTTATGCTGTTCGCGCATATGTACTGTCGTTCATAGCTTTCTTCCTTTGCATAATATTAAGAACACTTCAACACGCCATGCAAGCGCTCATTTCTCCTACTGAAACGAGGTCCACAAGCTTTCAATTATTACAAATGAACTGCAGTGAAATAAGAGACAAGGGTAAAAAACAATAGTAAAAAAAAAGAAATATAAGACGGCAAAGCACAGAGCAGGTACACTCGGCACTGTATATGTATCGCTATCCTCTTTCTGACCCTTTTTTCCCACCCCTGTACAGGGTAGCAAACCACTTCTAGGTTAACCTCCCTGTCTCTTCCTTTTATTTATTTCTCTCTTGCTTTGCCTTCATGTTATAGGGCTCGGTTTCTTGGATTTGATAGCTGGGTCCTTGTACTCGTGGTGTGTCGAGCGAATAAGATCAATGATATTTTTCGAATCCGGGCCCCGGTGGTCGCCAGTGGATTGGGGCGAAAGTGCAAGAACATCCTGGTACAAACTCATGTGGTGGAAATCGGTCCGCAGTGCCATAATCCGACGCGCCTCGTTTCGCGAATCAAAGTCTAGAATATAATGTTATTAGCAATACTCAGGATACTCGCAAAATGAAATCGAATTAATGTTTACTTCCAGCAGGTTTTTTTCTTTCTTCGACCATTTGGGAGTCCCTCATGTGAAAAGCGGTTAAAATAAAACACTTGAGAGCCCACGTACATGGCAGCAGTTTGGGAATTCAAGCTTTTAAGAAATGCGGTGTCCGTATAAAGCAGGAGAAATTAACAAAGTTGAGAAGAATGTTATAAAATGCCGCTGTATAAAATATAGCTAGAGCAAAGCAAGTCACTGTATCTTTTTCATAAACAATACATACAAAGTGGAAACACATCACCAGCATGGTTTCATTCTGGTCACGTATTATACCTAATGAAAACACCTCAAATAACACTATGCAAAGGTGAAAAAATTACGCATTTCTCTTTTTGTAAACAAAAAATTATTAGGGTCACTACTTTTATATTTGTTGTACGGAAATTAACGAGTATCTAAGGGAGTGTAGAAAATAGTTTGTGGAGAACGAGGAACGAGTCTGCACTTCGGGTCCGTGATTCCGTGTGTTGTATAGTTATGTTCGACAAAGATGTAATAAATGTTTAAAAGTGTTTCGGAATTTACTTTCTGTTTCTAAATGTTTGATATTGTTTTTGAAGCTTCTGAATAAGATGGCAAAACTGTACAGCTTTGCTAAGACAGAGCTGAAGCCAGGAAAGCGCATAAGTTGCGCGCTTTGCTTTTCATACGAGATAGCGGCCGCGTAGACCATCTGGAACTCGGTCAGGTAAGCTATCTGCACGAAGCAGACCATAGTGACGTTTTCACCTGCGCTTAGCGTTTTTATATTTTCATCAGGTGCGGACGTGCGAATAGTTATACACTGTTTTTGTTTCGTAATTTGTAATCGCTTTTCCTTCTCGACACGAGATGGCGTTACGTTACTGAGGCGTAATTCTAGGTGGGACGACTCTTGAGTAGATTATTTTCACCTCCCTTATCACCTGTGTTCACAATCGGCTTGCATTGTGTATCGCTGTTTTTCACTGTGTTCAAAGGTTTTGGTAATACAAAAAAAAAATCGCACATCCCACGTACCTTGAAGTCAATGTTCTGCGAAGCTTGCGGAGGGAAGTTGACCGTGTTGCAAATTTTTATTCAGCGACACGTCATGATATGACGCTAAATATGTGCAATGTTGCACGCACAGCAATACGTTGAAGAGTTGCAGATGTTTATATAACCAGTTGTTTGCACATGCGCGAGATGCCAACTGGAGCTTGCGTATTAGCAACACCAGAAGCTGATATGAAACGCTAATGATCGCGAAAATGCTGTCCCCGGACACTGCTACATAAATCAACTTCAGCGCATGGCAACTAACCACAATGGACGTTAACACGATGTGACGTATGTATAAAAAGAGTACATATGTAATGTTTACGAAATTGTGTAGACAGCACTGCAACCACTATTGACGTTTCACGAAGATTAGCGTCTATTTGAAAAGTAGTTCTGAGACCTGGCGTAGCTCCGTGGTAAAACCCTTCATATCTACGCAGAATTCTTGGGTTAGATTCCAGTCAGGACCCTGACATTTACTCTTTGAATTCGTCGGGTTGACGCTATCGATGTCGGGTATTTCTTAAGTTTCGCGCGTTCAAATTGCCCATGTGTGTCCTAGTCGTTCCTAGGTAGATACTTAGCTATCACCTGTGGCACATACCCGTATAGCAGTGGCACATACCCACCCGTGGGTATGTGGCACTGTTTGGCGGGAAGAGTTTGACGACGTATGCGACGGCATTGTTATATTCTTCATGTCTCGACCAGCGCATCATATTCTTCAAACTACCTTACCAAAAACCATCTTATCAAACCATCTTGTGCTAATTTTGGTTCACGCCAAGTTAAGGGAGTGAGCACGAAAGCACCCAAATGTAAGCGGATAGATAGATAGATAGATAGATAGATAGATAGATAGATAGATAGATAGATAGATAGATAGATAGATAGATAGATAGATAGATAGATAGATAGATAGACAGACAGATAGATAGATAGATAGATAGATAGATAGATAGATAGATAGATAGATAGATAGATAGATAGATAGATAGATAGATAGATAGATAGATAGACAGACAGACAGACAGACAGACAGACAGACAGACAGACAGACAGACAGACAGACAGACAGACAGACAGATAGATAGATAGATAGATAGATAGATAGATAGATAGATAGATAGATAGATAGATAGATAGATAGATAGATAGATAGATAGATAGATAGATAGATTCAAAGTCGCCGAAGTTAACTAAGAAATGCTCCGCATTAAAAAAAATGTACATACGTGTAAGCGTACTACAGAATAGAAACGTTCATCCATACCGACATCTCCCTCCGGCTTTCATCAAGCACTACTGATAACACTGATGACGCGTGTGTTCTCGTTATATGAGCAATCGAGCAGATACCACAATGCATTGTGCATCGGTCCACGGCTATACTTTCTTCACGCACACCACTACTCGCAGTTGTAGACCTTGGCATGCCGTGTCGGCGACTATCGAGCAACATTATATTAAAACTATGGATGTGTAAGCAGAGCATATTGTCACGTTTCTCACGACAAACTTGATACAATGGGCTCGTTGAGTCGACAAGCCAAGCAGCAGCTCAGATAGATTGTCTTTGTCCTCTTTCACTCATCGATCTCAACCAAGCAAACCATGTGGCAATAGTCCCCCCCCCCCTTGAAAGCATCGACTCGAAGCTCATAAAGAAAAAAATGAAAGCATACACACGCAGATATAGAAAGCCAAAACAGGGAGAGTGCCAGTACTCGCAGCGCAAATGAGGAAGTTTCGTCAACGCTTGCGCCAAGCGCAAAAGAAAAGGCATAAAAACACAGAACACAAACAGCAGCAGCAACGCAAAGTCATAGCATGTCATAGCACTTGAAACCACAAGGACTACTGTGTGAAGTAGGGCTTCAGCCGAACGACATGCATGGTTTCTGGCCGAAGCTGTCGACGAGAAGACGCTGCGCCGTCCGGAAATACCTCGTGGGTAACATCTGTGACACGTCTAAGAACCTTGTACGGTCCAAAATAACGGCTTAGGAGTTGTTCGGATAAGCCTGGTCGCCGGACAAGAATTCACACCCACACTCGGTCCCCAGGGTGGTAGGTGACGTTTCGATGGCTGAGGTTGTAACCTCGTGTGTCTGCATCTTGTTGGTGACTGGTGCTTATGCGAGCTAGCTGACGAGCTTCCTCGGCGTATTGATTGTATTGCTCAGCGTCTTCAGCAAGTTCATTGCTTTGGTCACACGGAAGCATAGCATCGAGCATGGTTCGCACGTTGCGTCCGTAAACAATTCGGAAAGGCGAAAATCGCGTTGTTTCTTGCATTGCCGTATTGTAAGCAAACGTGATGCATGGAAGAATCTCGTCCCAGGTTTTCTTTTGTACGTCCACGTACATTGACAGCATGTCCGCTATGGTCTTGTTAAGCCTCTCTGTCAGTCCATTGGATTGCGGGTGATAAGCCATTGTTTTTCGATGACTTCTGCAGCTCAATTTAAAAATGTCCTTCATTATTCGTGTTGCAAACGACGTCCCTCTGTCCGTAATCACGCATGACGGGGCACCATGCCGTAGAACGATTCGGTGCACGAAGAACTGCGCGACTTCAGAGGCTGTGCAACGGCTTTTGTTTCAGCATAACGAGTAAGATAATCTGTCGCAACTATAATCCATTTCTTCCCAGAAGACGACAAAGGGAAGGGCCCTAGAAGGTCCATTCCCACGAGGTCAAACGGTGTCCGTGGTGGTGCGATCGGCTGGAGCAAGCCCGCGGGTCTCACAGGCGGAGTCTTGCGGCGCTGGCACTCACGGCAGCCTTTCACATATTGATATACACTAGTTGATAGTCGCGGCCAGTAATATTGTTGGCGTACTCTGGCGAAAGTTCGCGAATAGCCCAAATGTCCTGACGTGGGCTCGTCATGGCACGCAAGGAGGATCTCTTCACGCATGTTGGTAGGAACAATGAGTAGGAAGGCTTTGTCGCTACCACGGGCGTTTTTCTTGTAAAGAGTGCCTCTTCTTAGATAAAAAGAGGACAGTTCGCGAGCAATGTGTTGAGGGACCTGAGAGTTGCGGCCTTCCAGGCAATCAATGACTGGGCGTAATTCGTCGTCTACCCGCTGTTTTGACATGAATTCGGAATCCCTAACTGCTCCAAGAAAGGCATCTTCATCCTCGGAGCCCCTGACAGCGTGCCCCACAGGCGCTCGAGAAAGCGCGTCGGCGTCTTCGTCGGCCCTTACCTGTACGCAATCGTAATAGCGAAGTCCTGCAAACGCAAACTCCACGGAGCGAGACGGCCGGATGGATCTCTGAGATTTGCCAGCCAGCAAAGCGAGTGGTGGTCAGTCACCACTTTGAAGGGACGACCGTAGAGGTAAGGCCGAAATTTGGTCGTCGCCCACACGACTGCGAGGCATTCTTTTTCTGACGTAGAATAGTTGGTCTCAGCTCGAGAAAGAGTACGACTGGCGTAAGCTATCACATGCTCAACGCCGCCGTGTCGTTGTACAAGGACAGCGCCAAGTCCGACGTTGCTGGCATCTGTATGAATTTCTGTAGCAGCGTCCTCATCAAAATGGGCAAGAACAGGGGCTGTTTGCATTCTCTGTCGTAACTCTGTGAACGCTGTATCTTGTTCTGCGCCTCAAGTAAAGGGCACATCATTTCGGGTGAGTCGCGTAAGAGGTCCAGCTGTCTTCGAGAAGTTGGCGATAAATCGGCGATAATACGTGCACAAGCCGAGACAACGGCGTACTGCTCTTTTATCTGATGCAACAGGGAAGGCGGGGACAGCAGCAGTTTTGTCTGGATCAGGTCACTCTCCGTCCGCACTAATGACATGTCCCAGAAATTTCAGCTCTTCATAGCCGGAATGGGATTTTGGTGGTTTCAGCGTCAGTTAAACTGTGCGAATGGCTTCCAGAACCTTTCTCAGGCGCTCAGACGTTCTTCGAAGCTCTCGGAAAAGATGACCACATCATCGAGGTAGACAAGGCAGCTTTGCCACTTCAAGCCAGCGAGAACTGTGTCCATCATCCTCTGAAAAGTGGCTGGTGCAGAACAGAGGCTGAAGGGAAGAACTCGGAATTTGTAAAGTCCGTCTGGAGTCAGAAACGCGTTTTTTTTTCTCGGTCTCGTTCATCCACTTCGATTTACCAATAGCCACTCTTTAGATCGATGGACGAAAAATAATTCGCGCGTCGTAACCTGTCGAGAGAGTCGTCGACCCGTGGAAGCGGGTAGACGTCGTTTTTTGTGACGCTATTAGGCTTCCTGTAGTCAATACAGAATCGCAGCGTTCCGTCTTTGTTCTTCACTAGAATGACTGGCAAGGACCAAGGGCTGCTGGATGGTTGAATAATCCCGTAATCGAGCATCTCTTTTACTTGCGTCTGAATATCCTCGCGTTCTTTGGCAGAAACGCGAAAAGGCTGCTGCCGTATGGGGCGGACGTCATCGTCGGTAAAAATTCGATGCTTCGTGAGGTGTGTTTGACGGACTTTGGAAGAAGAGGCGAAGCAAGATCGAAACTCCCTTAAGTGGTCATAAAGTGCAGCCTTTCTCTCGTCTGACAGCGTGGAATAAATGTCGATGTGGTCTAGAAATTTCTCATCTTCATGCGTTTCCTCGGACGCGAAGCATTCCGTGACGTCGGCAACAGGGTCCCCATGGGCTATGGTGGTTCCGCGGAAAAGATGCCGGTGCTTGTAATTGAAGTTCGTAACTAGTGTCGTGTACTGTCCATCGCGGACACGCACAACACTTCGGCGGACGCATACACCTTGGAGCAACATAAGTGATAGGTTGCTTTCAGCCACCACGTCGCCGTCTTGAAGGTCTTCACAAGTGACTTCGATGCGAACAGTCGCTCGAGGTGGCAGCGTCACACTGTCGTCAGCAGCACGCAGCGCAGGTTTACGGCAGTTATCAGCGTCTCGATCTGTTGCGCCTTGAGTCGAGAAGGTCACGATGCGCTCACGGAGATTTATGATGGCACCGTATTTCCGAAGGAAGTCCATGCCGACAATCAGCTGATACGAACAGTCGTAAAGAACAAGGCAGCTGAGCACAAACGTTGACGCACGAATTTTCACTCTTGCGGTACAGTGACCCAGCGGTGTTACAACGTGTCCTCCAGCTGTTCGAATTCGGGTTCCATTCCAAGGCGTGATCACTTTCCTGAGATCTTTCGCTAGCCTCCCGCTGATAATCGAATAGTCTGCACCAGTGTCTACCAATGCACTGACCTGAAAACCGCGGTCACTGGGTTCAGATGTGAATGTCAGCGTTTCTTCGGTACTGCGAATATTCTCTGACGAAATGCCTTCGGCGTTGGGTGCAAGCGTCGATGGGAGGCCTTTCGCACTTTGAGTGCCAGCGACCTTGCCCCCGAAGGCCGCTGCCTTCAGTTTTCTCGACGAGGCCGGATCGGGACGTATGGCATTGTCTGGATCGGGACGTGCGGCACTGGCTGGATCAGGACGTGTGGCATTGTCTGGGTCGGGACTCATTGAGCAGAAAGAGGAGTGGCAGATCGCAAGGCTTCCACGTACGTACGACGGCGACTGTCAGTAGACGCAGGAGCCGTTTCCGAATCAACGTTCGACATCGGCGGAAAACGATGGGCGTGCAGCACTTGCTGGATCTCGTCACGGATGACACTGGTAATAGAACCGACGTCGATTTGCCTTGTCCTGTAAACTTTTCCATTTCTTCCCGGACAACGGAGCGGATGACCTCACGAATCCATTCGGAGTTCTTGCTCCCAGGGGTGGCAAAAACTTCGGGAGTTGAGGCAGCATTCACTTGACGGTCAAACAGGGCAGACGGTTGGTTCTGTACTCGCTGCATTGTTGCCGCTTCTGTAAGGAACTCAGCAACACTCTTGGGGGGACTACGCACCAAACCAGCAAAAAGTTGTTCCTTCACACCACGCATGAGGTGGCGTAACTTTTTTCTTCTGCCATAGCAGGATCCGCTCGCTTGAAAAGCCGTGTCATGTCCTCGACGTACATCGAGATGGTCTCGTTGGGCATCTGGATGCGTGATTGTAGTGCACGCTCCGCTCAATCGCGGCGGTCGGGACTCCTGTAGGTCTCCAGAAGGTGACGCTGGAACTCGCGCCAAGATGTCAGAACATCATCCATGTTCAAAAACCACGTCTTGGCACCGTCCTTTTGGCAAGTGTACACGTTCCGGAGCTTCGTGGCATCATCCCAGTAATTGATCGCTGCGACACATTCGAACTCACTCAGCCAGTCGTCAACATCTTCATGCTGCTCTCCGTGAAAGGGGCTAGGCATTAGCGGGTTCTGAATGGTGCAGTAGATCGGCGTGGAAGGTGTCGGAGCTTACACGGGACTTGTGTCGAAGTCATAGTCCCTGCATCAGTGGTTGGTGTCTCAGGCGGTAGGCCTCGTTGACGGCGGCTTACTCTGTGAACAGAAGTGTCCACGGGTGCAGGACTTGTGTTCCGGCTGCTGGGCGGCGTCTTGGGCATCGAGTGGATCATGAGATGTTGTACCCCGCACCTCCACCAGTCTTGTCACGTTTCTCACGACAAACTTGATACAATAGACTCGTTTAGTCGACTAGCCAAGCAGCAGCTCAGATAGATCGTCTTTGTCCTCTTTCAATCATCGATCTCACCCAAGCAAACCATGTGGCAATATTAACGCAGCAGTTAGCATGCCGATTCGAAGGAGTCTTTTTTTATAGTGCGAACGAGAGGAGGAGGAGGAAAAGAAGGAGGAGAGGTTGAGATCAGAAAGATAACTTATTCTGCGGCCATACCTGAAAGCACGGCTCAGCGTCTGCTGGAAGAGGGGGATTGGGCATCCAAGAAAGTGTGAGCAGATAAAAGGAGTGGCCTCTATAGGCCATGACGTGAGGAGTGAATTCTGCAGCCGCTAGTCTATTACAGTGGCTCCACTGACACACTGAACTGAGTATAACTAAATTCATTCTTGCTAGGTTCTTCAATATTTTCGTGAGGGGTTTACGACTAAAAGAAATAATCATAGTGGGAGGTCGTCTTTCGTTAGGAATTACTAAACTATGAGGCCCGTTGTCAACGCAGCGCGCTACCAGTAACGTCACCGCTTCGTGGTTGCTATCGTAGAACACACACAAGAATGCAAAAGTTGCGCGTCTATCATCGCACGAAACGTAGAAATGGCGGAGGAACGCGAACGCCTCGTATGTTATCGGGGACTCGCACACAGCCATTCGAAACTACGCCAGCGACAGAGTCATCCCCGAGGCATTACGGATCTTTAATACAAAGTTCACGAGGCGAACAAATGCGTGCACATCTTTTTGTTGCCGGCCGAATGTAACCCGGAGGACAGACAGAATGGAGTGGCGCACAACGTAGGTCGAGGTCTTACGTTTCGAGTCGCGTTAGACGAAGCAGCCAAGGAAACGGACTTTTCTACGCCTGTGTGGGAGTAAAAAGATCGGCTCACTAAATACTGGGACATAACTCAACACTATTGACTGCAAAGGCGGTAGTACCCTCCACCTCACTTCAAGCTAAAGAGGCCCCAGTATGTTTAATAGCGGCAGCTGCAAACACGCGCATACACGAATCCCGTCATCATGCACCACATATATCTCAACGTCTATACTTCTAATTTATGCCAGCACCGTACCACCATAGCCACTCTTGATCATATCCTATGGGAATGTACAGCATTAATCAGAAGGTTTGGAATCGCGGCCTCCAATAAAGACACTCGGGCGTATTGGCGGACCGCTCTGATCAGTTCTGGCCTGGACAAGCAACTCTGGACGACCCTGCACGCCAGGGAAGCTGCCGGAAGACTCGGTCTTTTTGTTAGCTTTTAAGTGGGAGCCCAGCCGAGCAATCTGCCAGAAATTAATAAAGTTTACCTCTCTCTCGCTCTTGTTGTGTAGTGTTTCTGCAATATATAATTAGGCCTGTTCAACTGAAATTAACAATATGGAATGAAACTCTAATATAAAACAAATTGCTCGCAGGCCACGAAAATGGGTCAACGGATGTGCATGGCCCACAATACTATGTGTACCTGACACCGATGCAAATCAGGACGTTCCTGGTGACTTTCTCTAAGGACGACACGAAGCACATGGTGTGCTCCACCCACTGAAAAGCAGCTGCCATCAAGTGTCTACGCGAATGAAGCTCTCGCTTTCATGCCCAAGTATTATTACTCGTATGCATTCGAAAAGATTAATTTTTTTCCGAATAAATTCGAAAAGAATAAACACTCCTATGGTGCAATGATTGTGCCTAGAAAAGCCTTTATGCACTCATGTGACACTCAGCGTTTTGCATTGAACTTGGTTGTGAATAGATGTGCTCGCAGTGTTAATTTAGAAAATTGTTGCATACAATATTCATGCGAAAATTTATTTATTTATTTGTCTGTTTATATATGTATTCATTTATTTGTTGATTCGTTTATTTAAGGAAGCATTGACAATTCGGAAAAAAAGAGTAAGAGAATTTAGAACCAGAAGTTGGAATCTGCTTTGAGTATTGTGGCAAGTTCTGTCTCAAATTCAGAACTACTTTCCCTCGACTGCTAAAGCCAAAGGATTTATGTATACTCAGTTATTCAGATGCGCTGAGATTGCATAAAGTGGTAAGCACTCGTACGCACGCGGTAGTAGATCGAATCAATTCATTAATGTTATCTGTGTCAATTCAAGTTATATTTTACACGACTTACGGAATTCTGATTCGCCATAAACAACGAAAGTAGCTTGTGGGATGTGCTCTGAATAAGGTGAATTCGCCTAAAATCAAAGACATAACGCTCATATGTAACGTATACATTGACTAGTTTGAGAGATCATCCGTCAGTGAAAATTTGTAGGATATAATGGCCTCTCAAAACAGACGGATGGCTGCGCAGTGCCTTTCTGCATACCCTCCCTTCACGTGTCATGAACGGGCCGCCTGGATCGTGTTTTGTCCCACAACAGTAAAAGGCGCAGCAATTACCGCGGCTTTGCGAAAATCGCAAACTCTTTCTGCATGAGAAGTGGTAGCGTTCAGTGATTCACAGTCGGCGTTACAGCGAGTGCATTGAAGGCTACCTCACGAAACATACACAAGACAATCTCTGGCGCTCTATAAACACCTGATTGGCAAGAGCTTCAATGTGAAATTTCAGTGGATCCCATTCTACGTTGGAATTAAAGGCAATGAAAAAGCTGACGCCCTTGCATGCGAAGCACGAACTTGCGTTGGAATCTTAAGAGCTTATAAAACTTACCAGAACAGCAAGAATGTAATAGGCAATCACTTCATGGCAGCCCACAAATTTCCGCATCAGTCATGCGTAATTCACGAAAATTCTAGGAAATATAAGCAACGCTGTTTTACCGGATAAGAACTAACTCCGCATACACGCCGGCTTGGTCGTTCAAGACTGGGCGAGGCGCTTCCCTGTTTTGTGCTGTTTATAGTGACATCGGTGACATCAGCCATTTCATTTGGCTGTGGCAAAGAACACAAACTGATTCGTTTTCGGAACACATCTAAAGTTGGGCAGAGGCGCATCATGCATGGTACAGTTCCTGATAGACGAGTAATAAATGCTTTTAAATACAATGACAACACAGGCTGCTAAAGCTGCGTTACAAATTTTGGATGCCATGCAGAAGTGACTGCTTATCTTAAGTGTGTCAATTGAAATGGCGACTAGCAGTAGCGATGTACCGGCGAAGCACCAGGGGCTCCTGCTAACGTCCTGTAAACATCGGCTGCCATGCGGACCAATCGGATTTATTTAGACCGTTGCCTACCAATGCCTTCAAGAACTCATGCACTGTTCCACGAATTGTTTGTTCGTCATCTTATAGTGCTCACTTATGTCGTTTTTGACCTCGCATGTCTTTTGTGTGGTATTCCCAGCACCATGTGAAGAACACGCAGATGAAGTTCAGCAAATTACCTATGCAAAGTTCAATAATATCGTAATTTAGCGCAACCTTAAATCTCTGGAAACATTCACACGTTCTCGTTCGCTTTCACTCAAGAAACACACAACGCACAGCACTTACTACCAACTGTTTATTGCATGTGACTGACCATCTTACATACCAGCAAAATGACGCACAGAAGCAATGCCAAACAAAGGGGCGCATCAACAGAGAATCAACTGTCCATACAATAAACAGCCACCACCCAACAAAAGGGACAAAAACTGAGTAAAGTAAAACAGCGGATAAACCAGCTGGTGGTACTGACATCTTGATTCGAGAAAATACATTTATTTTTGATACAACGCCACGATTCTGCGCATCACCCGGCGGTACCTATATAACGTGATAAGCAACACAGTGCAATAAATGGCTGGTAGTATCTGTTGTGTGTTGTGAGTGTTGAGTGGAAGTGAGAGTGAATGCCTGAGTGTTTCCAGAGGTTTCTAAGCTGCGCTAAATCACATAATGATGAGTTACCGCCTTGCCCAACAACACGTTTTAATTATCTATAGACTTCTATGATAATCTACCCTATCGGAAAAATTGCCATGGTGGATACTGGAAAACATGGTGGGCGTAGTGGAAATAATAGTGGGCATTATGGAAATTATGATGGCTATGGTGGGACGTAGTGGAAAATATGGTGGTTATGCCGGGACATACTGGGTGGTATGGTGTACAGATGATGGGTAAAGTGGAAATGATGGTGGAAAGCAGAGGCTAGATAGTGGGAAATATTGGGACACTCTGCCCACCATTGCGATAATGCTGGGAAGCCCTAAGCATATGGTGGGTGGCGCTTATTATGGTGGGCTACATGGTGTACCAAGCTGAGAAACTCTTCCCACCATTGCGATAATGCTGTGAAGCACTAAGCAGATGATGGGTGCTGCTTGTTATGGTGGGCCACATGGTGTACCAAGCTGAGAAGCTCTGCCCACTATCGCGATAATGCTGGTAAGCAGTAAGCAGATGATGGGTGGGCTTATAATGGCGGGCAATTGATATAGTGTACCAAGCTGGGATCTGTACACTACATGTTCTACCACCATGATTTCTACCAAAGGTTAGGCCTAGTGACCGAGCCCGTACAATTGTGTTATCCGTGCTTCCGGGTTTCAGAATACACAATTACGACGATTAAGTATGACAATACAGCGCAGCCATATGGCATCAATTAACCTAAATGAAGAATTTTTCATTGTGTATGGTGTCCGCTCAAGAAGCAACAAACACCGATGCGACGCGATTAAAGCACTCCCAGAGAACGTAATTAAGTGTCTTCTCACTGACAGCCGCCGGTCGCACTCGCCGGCACTTCTCTAGCTCTTGTACGAGTACTCAGACATGGCAATTCGTGTGCTTGGTGAACCAATATGATAGCGTAATGTTTCAGCACACTGCATTCTTTTTGGCCAAGCCGTTATGTAGTTGTTGCTTTAGCGAAAGAGCTATAGCATTGCGCTGCCGCGACCGCCCTCTACATTGCGCGAAAAGCATCCCAATACTCAATCAAATAAATTAGGCGGGCGTATCTATGAAATGAGCCTAGAAGCGTCATAAAGCGTGAGCAGATGTCGCCCTTTAGAACGAGCGCGAAACGGATTTTAAACTTGGCAGACCCCGCCGGTAAACTGTTGCTGCTCCCCAGCCAGTCCACTTGGATTTTTTTTCTTGAAGTTGTGAATTGTAAAAAAAATAGCACTAGTGCCATTAACATAGTGGCAATAGTTACAGGCCGCAGTTGCTTGTGTTTAATAAATGTGCAATGTTTAGTAGCAGGTGTAGATCTTGTCTATGTTGTGTACACGACAAACATAACTTAAGTTGAGCCTTAAGTTTGTATGCCAACTAAGTATTTAACACACAGGCAATGTCATGTTGGTGTGGCGCAGTAAATACCATGAAAAAAAAAGTTGGTGTGGCGCAGTGGTTAGCGTCTTCGGATGGGAATCCGCAGGTTGCACGTTTGATCCTCTGTGGCGCCTTGTTTTTTTTTTACGGGACGGGTGTTTTTTATACCGTTTTTATAGAATTCTTTTTTTATTTTTTGTGGCAGCTCGTCACGGTGATTCTGACGTCATTTCGCGCTCAAGTGTTGCCGGCACTGCAGCACCCACCATACCCACCATGAGCCATGGTGGGCGTTTCCCACCATTCACCCACTACATTAATCCACTATAATGGTGGGTGGTGGTTTCCACCATGCCCACCATTTGTTTTTTTCCGATAGGGTATGCTGTCAAAATACTCTTTCGAGTGAAGCATCACTAAATTTGTTCTCTCCTTCTTATTTCTTTCGTGTATTTCCGCATTCGTGTTGCCTCAGGGCGCGGTGGCGAACCGAACGAACATCACCTCCCTGTATTTTTTGTCCTCTTCCTTCGCTTCTTAAGGGACGCTCATAGGTCCCAGAAAACTGCCAATTTACGTCGTGGCATTCACAACGTGAGTCATGAAGCCATCCTCCGTAATTTAGAAGACATCGGCTGTGGTGCCAAAACCTTCACCTATATGCTCGCTTTCATCACCAACCATACGGCCCCGGTGGGGAAAGCCAACATCAGGAGCAAGCCTTTTCACTTACCTAACAAAGGTATGCCACAGGGTTCGGTGGTCTCACCTTTCCTTTCCAACTTGGTGCTCCTCAAACCTCCCCGTCTCTTGAGTACTGACCCAGAGATACATCATGCGTTATACGATATCACTCTGTGGTCGAGAAGCGCACGCACGGGCGAAAAAAGGACCAGCTTCAGGAGGCGGCCAACATCATTCAACAATACCACAAGACATGCGGTCTTCAGTGTGCTCTGGAAAAATCTGAACTGTTAGTCTTTGAGGCACGCACTTGGGGCGGACCACCATGTTACGATTCTCCGAACCCACAAATCATTCTACAAGGCATCCAAATACCGCAAGTGGACTCCCTTCGAGTGCTTGGGCTCCACATACATAAGGACAGGTCCGGCTCTGCAACCGTACCTCGGCTTCCAAACAGAGTCGCGCAGCTCACACACCTCATTCGATGGGTGGCCAACCACCGCAGTAGTTTCAAGATCGAACATACCACCTTGCGAATGGTGCAATCTCTTCCATATAGCCGCACAACAAATGGAAGTCCTTATCTCAATCTAAAAACAGCGGAGAAACAAACACTGATATTAGTATGCAAAAAGCCACGAAGCTTTCTTTAGGACTGTCACCAAATGCTTCGACCGACCTATTGCTCCGAATGGGTGTTCACAAAACATAGGAAGAGCTCGCTGTTTAACACCTCATCAGACAGGTCGAGAGGCTCAAGCTCTC